CACCAGGAGTTACATCTTTCGTGTTTATCCTTTAATTAGTTGGTATCATCACATGATATATTTGGACTAAAAGTTTAGAATAATTTTTCAGCTCAAATTATTGGGAACAGGGTGGCTAAGAACAACTACATTTACCTGTATTAGAATTTGACCAGGATGCTCCGGCAAATACTGATATTTAAAAATGTATCAGTCTGCGCTTGATTTGTACTTCCCTCACTTTCGATGTATTATTAAACACAATGATATTGCCCTGTTAAAAAGAAAAAAAACAAAAACACAAACCCCAAACAACAAAGACATGCTCCAGCAAATTAAACACCACAACATGTGCAACGACTGCTCCATCTGTCCGGCCAAAGAAAACAAAACCAGGAGGTGAGTCTGACAATACTGCACACTCAATCTGCTTAACCTTTAGCATAGCCCATGGCAGAGTTTAGGGCACAGCCAGCACTTCTGCAGCAGGCTTCTCCTTCCTGCCACCCTCTGGGGTCGGCCAAGGACACCTCAGCAGGCTCGACACCTGCGGACTTCCTGCACCCCAGTGCATGTGGCATTTACCCTCATTTTCACGTTGTAAAAGCACGCTGACGGGTTGACATGGAGCCTTTGAAGGGTTTGGAAATGGGGAAAAAAAATCTACACAAAAAATAACCTAAATGATGCTGTAGAGCAACAAGTCATGACCCGGAGACGACGAAGCTGGAGGCACCTGTCACTGGCACCCAAGGCTCCACCACCAAGGCCCAGGCCGAGCGGCTTGTGAAATACACATACAAAAATAAATATATGTGTATACACATTGATATATGTGTATATATATGCACACATATATATGTGTGTGTATACATGTATATATACACACACATATGCATACATATGGGTATATATGTGTATTTAATATATATGTATAGATATATAATATGAAGCCTAGCCATGAAATTGAAATTGAAAATGTATGTATGTGTGTACATGTATATATATATATACACATATATGCGTGTGTATATGTATTTATACATATAATCATACAAACTCTTTTAAAAAATTGTATTTAAAACGGCTTTAGAGATGAACGTGCGGTGGCTGCACGAGCCCCCAGTGGCCCCGCAGCGCTCCCCCCGGCTCGCAGCGCCCCCTGCGGCCGCCCAGCGCCGGGACACCCGCACGGGCTGCCGGGTGCCGCCGCCCGCCCGATCCGGCGCCGCTCCAGCGCCGCTCCCCGCCCCTCAGCCGCCTCCTGCCGCGTCCCGGCGGCCCCCAGCTCCCTCCGGCCGCGCCTCTGCCGGGACATCGCGCCCTGTCCGGGAACGTAAAGGGGTCTGGCTCCCGATAAAAAAAAGCGTCAATTACCAGGAGTGGGGTTCGAACCCACGCGGACATGCGTCCATTGGATCTTAAGTCCAACGCCTTAACCACTCGGCCATCCTGGTGCAGATACTACGAGCGCTCCCAGTCGCTCCTACATCCATGGCCGCGCTCCCGCCTGCCCCCTGGGCCCCCCTCGACCCTCAGGGGCGCCTCCTCCCCTTCGTGCCCCCCCCCCCGCCTTTATTCCCAGCGCGGGCGAGCGCGGAGCGCACAGGGCGGCGCGCGCGGGCGGCCTCTCCCGGCGGCAGCGGGAGGAGGGCGGGCAGGGCCCGGCGGGGAGCGCTGCTCCGGCCCTGAGCCCTTCCCGGGCCGCGATAGCCCGGGCCGGGCCCTCCCCTGCCGCCTTCGTTCCGACGGGCGCCGGGCCCGGAGCGGAAGGGGGAGGCGGGGGAGGTGCGCGGGGCTGGCACGGGCCCGCCCCTGAGGGGAGAGCGGGGCGGGCGGCGCTGGGCCGGGGCGGCGAGGTGCGAGTGCTGCGGGCACTGCGGGGCAGGGGCAGTGCAGGCTCGGACTTCCTCAGAGTGGCGAGGGAGGGTCGCGGTGCCGGCGTGGATCCTCAGCGGCGTGAGAGGGCTGCAGAGAGCTTGCGCCCGTAAGGCACCGGCACTTTATTACTCCCGTACAAATGTTTCTTGGAGTGTATCTTCCTTGCTCATAGAAGCAAGGAGAACCAAAACCACCAAAGTCCAAAGGTATCAGTTACGCTTATCTAGGAGAAAAGTATTGCAGGGGAAAGATTTTTTTTTTGCCGGTCGCCACTGAATGCCTGGGCTACAGAAGCACCTATCGCAGTATCCCCACTTACTGCCTGCCCTGAGACCTCCCCCTTCTTCCCTGCGTCAGATGGGGAATGGGAAAGTGTCCCTTCTCGGGCCTTGGGTCCCAGTCTCGCTCCCTGTGCTGTTTTTCAGCGGAGAAAATGGACATCCTTTATCCCACCAAACTTTGCCACCTGTGAGCCTGCCCCTGAGGTATAAGGAACATATCCCATACAGCGCAGGCCGAGGACACTGGACTGTGCCAGCCTCCAGCAGACAAGGAGGCATGCGGATACCATCGGCTTCCCCATGGGCAGAACAGGAGCACATCCCCTGCTCGGTTGTTGGACACCCTGGTTGTCCGTACCCTTCTGTCAGGGGTCTGGGCGTCGAATTTGCAGGTGTGGGTGGTGCCTGAACCCTTCGGCTGTGAGTGCTCAGAGCCCCCCAGTATGCTAGGCACACTTGTGAGGGAAAATGCCTCTAACGTACCGTACAGGTGAATTGTTAATATTTTATATACGTGATGAGCTACGCCTTTAGTTGGAGAAGTTTCTCCCAGGACACATACCAGATACCTGCACAAGTGTGTCCATAGTCTGGGTCCTTCACTTTGAGGAAGCAATTGTTCCACTGCCATTTCTCCAAAACTAAACCCATGATTCAAAAAAAAAAAAATCCCGTAAGATGAAATGGAGACTCATATACATATCCATGAACCCTTATATACTAAACATTTTATTTTGTAATAGGGATTTTTTTTTCTCTTTTATATTTGGGCAGCACTCCTCAGAAAGGGCTGAGATTATAGGTGTGTGGTTGTATGGGTTGAAGAGCTTCGGCTTCAGTGGGAAACTAAACCAAAGTCCTAAAAGCTAAACCATCCTCTCTCACATTTTAACTACTTCACCCCTCAAACTCAGTTTTAGGGTTTGCCACATGAGGGAAGAGGGGAAGAAAAACCTCACCAACCCATAGAATATGCTACACACAGGAGTTGTGCTGACTTTCAGAAGGAAAAGGCAGCCTTCCTTAGGGAGCATGGAGATGTCCATCCTGCAGCTTCTTTCATTAGTATGCTAAAATGTTGTCAAACAACTTTTATCATCTTCTTCCACTCATCCTGTGTGGCATGAGTCCTTTCAACTATAGTGTGATCAGTTTTTTTCAAAAGTCTGTTTAAATGTGATTAGGCAAGTTCATGGGCTGGCAAAATTTGAGTTCTTACACAACTGAAAGATAGAGAAAACCCCACAGTATTGAGCAATGTTTGCAAGGAAGAGAATGATTTCTTCAGTTACTGGAAGTCATTTTTTAAGTGCCTCTAATTCACAATGCATCTTAAAAATAATTTTAAAGGAACTTCAGTGGGTATATCAATAATTCTTTCTTCCTTGCACCAACAGCCTTAAGTCAGGAGAGAAAGTCTACAATTACCTTTTCTTCATGCTTTCTTCTACCTTCTCATTTCACTCTCTTTCCCTGTGCCTCAAATTGAACTAAATATTTGCGTATAAGTTTTGCGTATCTACCAATGAAACCATCAAGATCTCTCAGAACTGCCAGAATAAATTTGATTTTTTTCTTGCATTAGAGAATCATCTTACAATGCATGAAACTAATTTTTTATGGTTTTTATTGGAAAAAATTTTTTTAAATCTATCTCAAAATGCAGCACATCTAATTTACTTTTTTTTTCTTTATGGGTATTGTTTAATCTTTCACCAACTCAAGAGTTTAGTCCATCAACTTTTAAAGTAAACTTTGACAATGCAAGAAACTGTTCACAGCTGCTGATTCAATGTACAACACTCTGCACTTTCAGTTTCCCTTATTAAATCTTTTATTCCATTTGTAAATATATATGTGCAAAAAAAGGAATGAACACAAAGAAAAACATGCACATATTTTTTGTCAAAAACATTGGCACATGCTAGGAATATCCAGATCAAAGGAAATACATATTTCATTCTTCAGTGATTTATCCCCACATGCTGACCCTCAGAGTTTTAGGGTATTTCTCTACAAATACACAATTCCACTGACTTGGAGTACCTACGGAGTAAATGACTTTGTCTTCTTGAGCAGCACCAAAGCTACTGGCAATGGTAGTAGCTTATCACCTTCCTTTCTCCCACTTCAAGTTTGAACATTGGGTTGTTGGAGAGGTCCACAGACAAGCATAACACTGATATTATCAGGACACACTGAATATCAAAATACCTTAAAGTTTAGAAGATTGGTGTTCCTCACTCTTCCATGTTATCACAGGGAGGTGCTACAGCAAAAGAGACATTCAGTTTCTGAGAAGAGTTATGCATTTAGTTTCTATTTGTGTAAAAAAGCCTGTCTGGCTAAGAAGTATTTCCCACTAGGATATGAAATCTTGGAAGTTGAATTTATTTTGCTGTTTTGTCATATTAATACAAATAGTAAGAAATGTTTGGGTGTTTTTTCACATATGAAATTAGGGTGCAAAAGAACAGAAAGGGGAAGTTTCATTGCGATTGGTACAGGAAGATGCACATCTATACACATCTGAGGAAAACTCCCAAATATAAAATACTTGAAATGTTGAAATATATTTATTAAAATAGCTACAAATAGGATAATTATTTTTAAAAAAGTAACTAACTTTTGAAAAAATGTCCTGCATTATTTCAAAGGATAGCAATAGATCACAGTGTATCAGAAAGCCTCTTAGAAATATAGTTGGAAAACCTCCAGAAGCAGGAGCTATAATCACTCATGAGACCTTACGAATATATGTTTCACTGACAATGCTCAGTGCTTGGCAAGGCTGCACATTTTCTATTCCCTTGTCATACTCCAAGCTTACTGGTTTGCCCTTATGTAAGGGTAGACTCCCCTTACGCAAAAGGAGAGGTTATTTTTAAGCTTGAAAAGAGCACTAAAATGACATGAGACTGTTTTCTTTCTTCTTCAGGTGTACTTGCTTTCCCAGGAGATTTCCTAACAATGGGAGAAAAGTCACAATTTTTGTACACCAGGAAAATTGCATGTTAAAAAAATGTAATCCTTCATCTTATTTAAAATAAATATAACCCCCCCATATTCAGTCAATGCTTATAAAAAAATAAATGTCTATTGATGGGCAGTCATTCCACTAAAGCAGCTTGTATATATGTCCCAGGACATGCAATGCTTTCTCAACCCCAAAAATGTTGTCTGCAGTACAACTGGGTATTTCTGCAGAAGGCCACTGCATGCATCTCTTCTGGCTGAAGTGTTAATTGGCAGAAAAAAAGCATGAAAGCATGGCAGGTTTGAAACTGAGAGTACAGACAGTGGCTCAAGTTAAAAGTGAATGAGATGCCTCAGTGTTGCAGGGCTTCTAGCCACCTTGACAGAGTTGCAGGTATTCAAAATGGAAAAAAGCAGTCACTTGCACACAATGGAACAAAATATGCATATTATCATTTAAGGTGCAGTCACTTCTGTTGAGATTCAAGACAGATGGAAATCAAGTTGAAAGGGAAACTAATTCTGTGTCCTGCTGCTGCTAACAGGCTTGGTATTTTGTCAAATTAATAGAGCAAAAGTCTGTTCAAATAATTGCATCAAGCAGGCTCCAAACTAGTTAAAACTAAAAACTCCTGATTCTGTTGTGTACTGTGTTGCCCCAGGTGGTAGGGCTTTGCCGCCTGCAGCCTCACTTCGACAAATAAGAATAAAGTTACTTTTTGAAACGATTCATCTTCCCTAGGCTGTTCACTCCTCTTTCTTGCCTATCTGAAACAAGTATGACTGCAGAGATCTTGCACCTCTGGTTACAGCAATAGGGTATATTTCAATTAAAATTAGATTAAATATAATTTTACCAACATTTCTAGGAGTTTTTAAATAGAACAGCATGTTTGGAAAAAAGACAATGAACAAAACCAAATCCAAAATAGCTCCCCTATTTCTAGGGTTTGTCATTACAGAAAAGTCACTGGAAAGAACACCTGATTTTGAAGACATTCAAATCAGTCTGTGATAGTTCCAGTGGGATAGTCACCTTCTGCAACATGATATGCAGCAGCAGAGGATTGTTCTGAGGGGATGTTTCCTTCTGTATTCCAAAGCTTTTTTCACTTGCTCTTTAGCATCTCCTACATAGTCCTCAACATTTTGCATATTTATCTCAATAACATCAAAAGTGTCTGCTTGTTCCTCCACTAGCAGGGCCACCTGCAGAAAGAGCTCGTGAACTTCCTTAATGCGACCTTCTAACTTGACCAGCTCCTTATGTCGTGTCTCTATCTCATTCAAGGCTGAGCGAGCTCCCTTAACATCCGACAAGAGATTCTCGGAGAAGACATCCCATTTGCCTTGCTCAATCATCTCCTCAATCTGGTTGCCAGAAACATCTTTGCCCATGATCTCAAGCTGCCGCTGAATTCGAATCTTGCAGTTCTCCCGTTGGTTCATCTCTGTTGCATTGTAATCAAACATAGCATTCTGAAATGTGTGCATGAGGTCAACATAGTGGTTCTTCGCTACCCTGGCAATGACAGACATAGCTCCATATTTTGTTACTGCATCTTCACAGAAATCTCTCATCACCTGCAGTTTCCTGTGGATGTTTTCTCCGCGGGCCTTAATGTCTCTGGCAATGCAATTAGTATCTCGTTTGATGCTGCTAAGACGGCGCATGGAAGTAAGGAAGCGGGTGTTTTGCTTTCTGAGCCGGTTGACATCCGCTTTTAGGTGGTCATTTTCTGTCCGAATGTTCTGTATGTCCTTATGAAGAATTTCCAAGGCATAATCAGTCTCATAAAGGAGAATATCGTGGGGTGAATTTTCATCATCCTCACTATCAGAAAACTGTTGGTTGTGTAACCTGGCAATTTCATGCAGCTCACTTAGACGGTCTTTCATCCTGCCTGTAAAACAGAGGAACAGAAGAAATGAAGTTTAAAGTAACTGAAATATTGGTTTACAAGAATTGAAAGTTCATAACTAATAACTACATCATAGTAATAACTATATCATAGATAACAAACATAATTACATAAAAGATAACTTAAAATATCAGATTTTAAATCTGTTCACAGTATTTAACACAGTAATGAATATCAGACACAAAACTCTGCTGCTACAACGCTTTTCTAGAAAGTACAAAGCTTAGAAACTGAAAAACTGCAAGAGAGAAGACAACAAATCCTGAGGACAAATCCAAAACAATAATAAGACAATACCCAACCTCCCTCCCAAATGGCAGTCTTTCACTTGGACAAAAAAAGCCAAACTCTCGATAGGAAGCCTTCAGCTATCAGCATCTGTGGACATGTTAATGTAATTTGCTCACTAGAGAAATCTCCTCTAGCTCTTAACCCTTCATTACATCAACTGCCCAAAATGTCACAGTTCCTCTGTCATTCTAAGCTTTCTTTTCCTGGGAGAATAGTAGGAAGCCTCTCAGAAACACAAATGGCATTTACCAATACAGTTGGGAAAGAAAAGTTTCAAAAAATGGTGTGGAAAAAAAGGAAAAGCAAGTTTAGTGTCTCCAGATGCTATCATTGACCATAGGCATTAACAAAATAACACAGCAATAGCAGCATTTTATAAGTAAAACCATCTATCCAACCCTTTTTTTATTTTGTATGATAGAAAAATCCTACTGAAGGAATGAAGTAACACTGTTTTTACAGATCAGGATCTATTTTCAATGTGTTCGCCTCAGAAATACTTAACTACAAAACAATTTCATTAAAAAGAAACAGAATGAGTAATCTGTGCAGACCAGTTACACGGTAACAAAACATAAGTCTCCTATATTGTTTACTTGAAATTAGACCTACAGTCTTTGCAGAAAATAAATTGTGAAAGCTCCAGCAAGAACCTTGCACTGTTTCAGCAAGCAGGAAGATGAAAATCTTTCGTCACAAGCCCTGTACATTCCGACCTCATTTAAATCAGTAAGAAAGAAAATCAAGTTAAGGAACACCAAGCAGGACATCTCTAGATCTCTTTAGAGGATTCAATTTTGGTTTTCCAATAATTAAAGTATCTTCACAGCATTTACAAAAATGCTTTCCACTGTGAACAACACATCCCTTCATAGGATCATCAGCTATTCCCAGGTTAAGAAAAGTCTCGTGTATATACCCAGTATAATAATAGGCCTAAATCTAATGTGAATTAAAACTGCAAGTTTATAATCTATTTCATGGGACTGTTAGATGTTTTAAAGATGTTAGGGATGAGATGGGAAAGATTCTGTCACTGGCAAAGTTTCTTGGGCTTGTATAGTTCATTGGTGGTATATACTGGAATTGAGAAGTGTCCTGATTAGGATCACATTTATATTGAAGTAAAAAGGTAAATTTCAACTTACACCAATCCTTTCACAAGCAACGTAAATCAAGCAAGCCCATTAATATTCTGAGAGAAGAGCTTTCATTCAGGAATGCACACATGTAAGATAATTGTTTGAATTTAAAACATAAGCAACATAGATCCAACTCAATCATACAGAGAAAGCTTTAGAAAATGAAAGATTTCTCACCTACTCCCTCAGCAATAATAAAATCAAGATTTTCACCTCATGCCACAACATTAAGATGAAAAAGCCGCATCTGAAAGATAAAAACCAAAATGTGTGGTGCAGCTTAAAAGTCAGGTATTCGGGTTTACTTGGCTTTAAAATTGATCAAGGAACACAGTAAATTTATTTGGGGTATTTGGAAACTGCTACCTTGAGAAACAACCTTTTAGGATTTTTTGCGTAAAGAAAAACAGCAGGCTGTAATGCAACACCACCACAGAGGTCTTTTCCTATTTCAGCTTCTCATTTCAAACAAAGGGGAAACAGATCTTCCCAAGAGAGGACAAAAACTTCCAAGCATTCCTTGAATAGTGTCAGGGACAGAACTGACACTAAAGATCCAAAACAAATAAGCATGGGAGAGCAAGGGGGAACAGCAATTTGAAACATTTCAGCTTAACAGATCAGTGTTTAGAGAAGTTGACCTTCTTTATCAGATGCTGTTGTTATTTGGCAAAGTTTGCATCTACTTTTATGTTGATAGGATTGTTTGTAATTAGAACAGCAATATATTGATACATAGTATCAATTACCAGGACTCAATCTGTAAAATGAGAGTCAGTCTCTCCCTTCATACAAGGCCCAGTGCAGAAGTAGAAGTTGGGCTTCCTAGCTGGGAAGTGGCTCTGCAGACAAGGACCTTGGTGTGCTGGTAGACATGAAGATGAGCCAGCAATGTGTCTGGGCTGGAGTAGCAAAAGTGAGGAAGATAAGGGACCCCTCCTGTCCAACACTTGAGAGGCCACAGGGCTCCTCAGTGCAATAGTCATAGACACACTGTGGTGAGCCCAGGGGAAGCCACAGAGATGATTAGAGGTGCTGGAGCACCTGACATATGAAGAGAGGCTTGAGAGACTTGGGAATGTTCAGCCTGAAAAACAGGAAGATCAAGGGAGATCTTGTTGCTGTCACCAACGGCTTAATGGAAGGCTAGACCCTTCATGGAAATGTACAGCAATAACACAAGAGGCAACAGGCCTAGGCGAAAACAAGGGAAAAGCCAGCCAGGTAGCAGAGAGGTGGGAAAAGGAAGGAAAAAAACCCCAAGCCTTCAGAAATAATAGAAAAGGTGCCCAGAAAAATCTGCATCCTTGGAGATATTCCAAAGATATCCTTGAAGATATTCAAAACTCTACTTGACATGGCGCTCAGCAACCTGAACTACCTATGTGTGTTTTGAGGCAGGCTGGATTAATGTCCAAAGGTCCACTCTAAATTGTTCTGGTACTCTGCCTTAGATCAAAGTTTGCTAATTTGAATATGAACATTAAATACACTCAACTACTTGTGCAGGTTTATATAAGATATATCTAAAAGATCAGAATATCAAGACATGAACTACTGTAGTGTAACAACTGCAAGTGTATAGATACCTTAATTTTGAGAGTGTGAATTGTAAGAGATTAGATGTTAGTTTTATTTTATTTTAAAATACTGTGCATATTCAACCTGGAACATGTACTTCCACGTTTGTAATTTTGGGCTAGGTAAATCTGTCCTTGTAAAAATGAAGTTCCTTCTGCAGTCCATCATGGTGTGTACACCCAAACATACACAGAGGAAATAAAAAGCAGGCCAGGTGATGACTGCAGAGGTTACAACTTTGAAGCCAGATACTCAGCAAATGCAGTCAGCTGAGGATGTGTTCAGTACTCATCTCTTCATGTTAGTGTGCTACTTCTTGGTATTAATCACCACAATGATTAGCTTTCCCATGATGCATGAGAAAGACACAAATTGTCCTGTTGCAATAAGACTGCAGCCTCACACAGCTCTGTATGACATGGGATTTCAGACAAGAAAGAAAATCACTCTGAAAATCAAAAACAATGCATATGTATAAACCCCCTTTCCATTTGCCCCATATACATACAAAAGGGAGTGCTGCATAGCATATTTCCATTGCCATGCTAATGTTCTGCAGCCTGTTATCTACATAGAAATAATTTAAGGATGAAAAGTTATTTCTATAGAAACAAATGAGTTGCACACCTGTATTTATTTCAGCTTTAACATTTGCATATCCACATTTTTGGGGACAAACAGTGAAATAAAGAAGCAGTTTCAGCACAGCATCCATATTCTGTTGCCAGCAGCTGGGAAGGAAGGCAGTATACATTGTTTCTTCTTTCAGCATTCATAAAAGGCAGCTGTGCTAGTTAATACCAGCTCGTGGGTTACCAAAAGTCTGGTCAGTAATATTTTCAGCCTCAAGTAGGGCCTCCTTACAAGATGAAGATTTTACTTCAGTTGAAGTGGTCTATTTGAGGAACAACAGATATTTCAAAACAAGCCAGTCAAAAACAATTTCTATCAGTAGTTCTTCTCTCTCTCAGGACGTAAAAGTCCTACTACAAACCCATGTGGCTCATCCCATCTCTGAATGGCATGTGATTTTGATCACATGACACACGATAGATGTGAGCCAAAAAACAAGTGGTGAACAATTAGGAAATAACCTGCTCCTAGGCAAAATTACTTCATAGCTAAGTGTGTCTCAGCACATTTCAGTGACTTCCCATATGGCTTGTAGTGGATGTGGTATTGATGGCAATCAACTCAAGATGGATTTGCCGAGTCAATTACAACACAAATAGTGTGTTGCTGTTGCACTAAAATGCAAGTCATTTATAGGTAAAAAAAGTGTTAAATGCAGCTGAAGCTTTAATTTAAGAGTTGGAGTCTCAGATTTAATAAGAATTTTCAAGTAACTTTCTGTTTTGGAAACAACTGTCTTTTACCAGATTTAGTGGTTTTGCCTGTTGTCCAATAATAGATCTGACAATATTAATTAACTTTGAAAACAGACTATTTTTTTACAATAGGTTTTCCTCTTTCCATAAGAGCTTCTAATTGACTTATAGCAGAGTGCTAGTCATCTTTTCAGACCAAATTCCCTGTCTCCCCAACCATGTCCATCACTAGTGGCACAGCAGGCTTGAATTTTTTAAATCGCTCGTTTTTTTTCTCACTTCTCCTCTAAAAGAGCTTGAAGAAACACCAACAATCATAATCTAATGATTAGGACAGTTTGTCTTCTGGACTTGTTTCAAGATGACATCTCTGTATTAGCAATATTAGACACTATGACAGAGATCAGCATTTCAAAATTTTTTATGGCCTCACTGAAGGGAAGTTAGCCTCTCTGGAGTTTCTTGGATTGGGCAATGTTTAAAAATAGACAAAATGTATCCAGGACTGAATATCCATTGGTTAACACTGAACAGCAGTTATAAAGCTACAGAAATCCAGCAAGAAGATGCAAGTGTATCTGAAGACTATTAGACACTGCCCAGCTCATATGGTCATCAAAGCCTGCATACAGCAGAACACCTCCTTTATACTTGCCATCACCCCAGTGACAAATGTATGCAGTTGCAAATGTTTCAGGACATTATGTTTTCCCAAAAGCTTGCACGAAATGTCAACTTCTCTGTTTGTATCAGGATACATTTTTTATTACAAGCTGATATATTCAGAGAAGTAGGGATGGCTCCATTCTTTGCAGGCTATTTTGCAGTTGGCAGAATCTCCAAGTCTCAAGTGGTTCCTTTCCTAACATAAAGGCTAGGAAAGGCTTAGGGGGTAAAAATTAAAATTCAGATAGTTTGTTGCTTCTAACTCAAAGTAATGAGGCAATAATTGTTTGAATACTGATAGCTTTTTAGGCGCTGCTTTGACTTATCTCAGTTTCTTTACCAGCATTCAATCTCTTCAACATAAAGTAACTCTCAACTTTTGTATGACAGCATATTATAAATTCAAGGATCTAGGGTGCATCTCACACTTCCCAGATGTATTCAATAAGGTTAACCATCTTGGTGTTTTCCATTGATTGGTTATAAGATTTCACAGACATTAGTATCAAAACTAGGGGAAGTTGATGGCATGCATCACATGCACTATAATATGTATTGCATTTTTCACATATTAATGATGAGATTGACAAAAAAAATCTGAAGTTTTAACTTGATACTGCTCAGTAGCCACGATAGTAAACATTATTCTTGCATTGGAGAGGACAGCTTGTTGTACATAGGTTGACTGCTACTATTTACTAGGTTGTCTAAATTTTCACTGGAGAGCTGTGGATCCCCACTGACGAATTTTCAATGCTGGATAGATTATAAAATGGATTCTTGGTATCTCCTCCTGACATTTTTCTCACAAGTCATATAAATGAGCAATTGTAACTAGATTTGGTGTTGGTTGGGGTGGGGCAGCTGTATCAGGGCTGTAGACAAAAAAAAGTGTCTCCATCTTCACTACGTGGCCCATTGAAAATTGTAAAGTCTTCATGTGCATTGTTTGAAGCCCCTCCCAAAATCGGGAACTCTCTCCAGAAGTCCTCATGCTTCTGTATATAAATGGAAGTTCAAAACAGGAAAGGTAATGCACACCCGAATTTGGCCACTTCATTTTCTTGAGGATGCCAGAAACAGGATAGAGAGTTATCGACTGCAGATACTGAAAACTTGCTGAATCCTTGGAGTCCTTGAAACCCATGAGCTGACTCCAATTGGCTTTAATGTGCACAGCTTGCTAAAAACACAGCAACATTACAAAGAGTAGATGAACATGCATGGAATTGTATTTTACCCAAGAGAGGGAAAACAATCCCACCATGGCTGGCTATTCAGTGCTTTCCAGTACATGCCGTAGGCTGACTACTGCAGCGTGCCTTTCCTACCACAGGCCACACTAAGGTCTTCAGGTAAAATTGTCCTGGATGGAGACAAGGGGGCATGAACTGTACGTCCACAGGCTCAGCAAATAGTTAAGGCAGAAGCATACCACTCACCTAAACAGTGAGACAGCCATCCATGCATTTCTTGGCAATTACTACAGCTCGGCATCATTACGAGTCACTGCTCAAGGAAATTAGACAACCACTCATAGGCAGTGCTGGCACTACAGTGCCGTGAGTACATACATTATCTAATTAATCACTTTGGCTTCCCTGAAACACATTGGCTCAGTGAAATAGCTACGTACATACCACATTTATATAACTACTATTGCTACCACACAGTGGTATTTATAAGTGATTAAGACATTATGTTGGCATGTGAGTAGAAATACAAGGCTGCATGTGATCATCAGTCAGAAGCAACACATTCTACTGACACTTTTAAATTAGCACATAGCATTATTTTTTAAAAAACACATATATTTAAAGCTTGTAATAAAGCATTATAATCTGAGATCAATTACTCTTTAATTAAAAAAAATCCCTTTGAGGTTAAATACAGGGTGTTTTCTTGGTATTTGTTCGTGTGGATCAGTACACATGAGGCTCAGTTTGGGATCCTACTGCAAAATCTACAGAACTGTACCTGCACCAAAATAGTTTAAGCCAGGAAATAACCCCCACAGCCACACATGCATACCCACACCCTCAGCCCCAGGACATGTCAGGCGCTGGCAGGCTTTATGGAAGTTACACTACTTAGCAGTCCATAAGTGTTTACAGGCCCATTCAAAGTACCAGTGAAGTTGAGACAAGATATAGGTGTAATTAGGGACACACTGGCCAGTGGTACTTAGAGAATCTGTTCCTGATTGGACATATCCAAAGCTCAAGTAAACCTTATTCTTGCTTTCAAAAATAAGTGAATTGTCACTACCATAAACACAGAACAGAGAAAAGGCATAGCAGGAAAGGCTGGAGTGTGCAGTAATTTCTTGTCTGTTGTGAACATGTGTTTGTTAAAATAATCTTGGCAGGTTAACTGTCATAGCAGACAGAGCATAAGCTGCACACATGATAAGCCTTTTGAAGTCAAGATATGTGACATCATTCTCTCTCTGATAAACTACATAAATATGGTCTAGATGAGAAGCGCCTAACACTGTGTGATAGGCTAGATAAGATATCCAGACACTCGACACAATCAGTAAAATCTATCAAAGAAGATATTGAAACCGAACTGCATTGCTCCTCTCATATGGAGCCTCCCTGCTCCCCAAGAGGGGTTCCCAGGAGCCAGTCCTAGGGAGAAGTGGTGCTGCTGCTCCTTGGGAATGATGTTCCTCACCAGAGATGGCTCACATGGGGGTCACATCTTGGGGAGCAACCCAAAATGCAGATGTAACCAAAAATGGCCTCTCTGCAAAATTGCAAAAAGCGGTAACCCCGCATTTGGTGTTGAGATGAGTTCATTGGATCAAATTAACATTGCCTCAGTAATTTCTGCACCATGCTTTGCCCTCCCTGCCTAGAGGGATGACCAGAGTAAAAGAAAATTGATGGGCCAGATAAGAGATAGTACACTGGTTCAGCACCTTCATACTTAACACAGCAGTTGTCTTTTCATCATCAGAATTGCTTTTGAATATGTCAGCATTATGATGTGTTTCTGTTATACTCAGAGGTTATCCATATTTTCCACTAGGAACTTGGAAAATGTAATCAAACACAAGCTTGTACAGTCTCCAGGTGACACTGAACTGGAAGGGAGAGGAAGCAAGCATTTGGCGGTGGAGGAGAGGAGAAATCATGAGAATTTAAGGTGATCTTGACAAATAAGAGAAGAATTTACAAAAATCTGTAAGGAAATTCAATAGAGACAAGCCTGGTACATTTAGATAAAATTATTCACTCAGATAGAAAGTAGGGAACACCTAGTTTTGTAGCACAGAAGCATTGGTGGAGTTATAGCAGACTGCAAGCTACAAAACAAGCTCACAATATAATGCCATTGTAAAAAAAAACAAACCCCCATGTCTTATATGAGAAATGGCACGGGAAGGACTGGTTTTACTCTGCTTGGCATAGATAAAGCCCCAGCTGGAATAGTATATCCTGCACCAGTTATCACACTAGGAAAGTCAAAGGGAGCATATTTGGCATTGTCTCCAAATGGTTTAGAAAATATAGCCCTGGAGGAAGAGGAGTTGAAGTAATTATGCTCATTTTATGCAGAAGACTAGGGAGAGAGACACAGCACTCCAACACATAAAAGGAGTTTTCTATGAAAAGAGAAATTATCAGTTTGATCCCTGTGTTGACATTGGAAACACACTAAGTAATCAGTTTGTCTCACACATGAGACCTATGTTGAACTGGCTGTGATTAGCTGAAAATTGGATCATTTCTCTGTGGAAGCACTGTGGGATCCTTTTCCTTAAAGGATAGAGAGAGGGTACAGAAGTCCCTCTCAGGCCTGGTTTAGGTGCACACCTACAATGCACCAAATGGATTAGGTAATGTCTTACAGTCTCCCCATGGCCTCGCATTCCCATGATTTGTTCAGTGCCCTTGCTCCCAGTCTCACCGTGTGTCCTGCAGTGTATGTGTTCGCACACTGCTGCCCATGCTGGGGAGCAATTTGGGTGACTCTTGTCACCCAGCAGTGGCAACCCCATTTCTCCTTCTGGAGCAGATCTTGGTTACTGTTATAGTATAGTGGAAAGTGTCAGACGCGGAGCCTAAGCCCACAGCACCCAAATTCTCCAGGACTGATAGAACATGCATTTGTGTTCCATGGCATAAGGTTTATCTGCAGTGTCCAGAAGATATTGTTATCACATTTTACCCATTTTAATGTCTCAAGAGGTCTTCTGTACCATGCTTAGTTTCTTCATGGAGATATCTTTTCACAATAAGAGTTTAACTCACAATTTTAGTCTCAGCCAAAACACCAGAAACCATATGACTGAACATGCAATTTCAGTTTCAGAGCAGTGGTCATACAAGGCAGTCAGTGAAAAAAAAGGTGAAAAAAAGTCCATCAGAGGAGTTGGGCACCTAAGCCATCTTTTCTTAAGAAGGCTGATCTTTATTCTGTCTGTCTGTTTTGAATTTTAAAAAAAAGTTATGCTCATCTTGTAGTCTCACCACTATTTAAATAGTGAGTATCATGACTAGTAAGAAAGCAGCACCTTTCAAATTGTATTCTCCTAAACAGTTATATGTTGCTGTTTTGATCCCTGACAGCTCAAAAAACGGCTCCTAAAATACCATCTAAAGAACAGGAACAAGAAGTGCAAGCGTCCGTTTCAGGCCAGTGTTGTTATTCTAGTCATTTCCTTTCTTGGTATCACAGTGACAAGTAGTTATCTCAGACATACATGAGCGTTAATTCTTCTTGGTAGGAAAGGAAATGAATATCGGTTCATAGGAAGCAATCAAAGAACTCTAACTTTTGCATGCAATTCCAGATCTGGCCATGATGATGCCCGAGAAAGAAGAAAAAGCTATTATATTTTGCCCATAGACCAAATTTTCTATAAAATCTGCTCTGGAGTTATTCATAACCACGTATGAGCACTATGAACGAAATCTTAATTCCTGCTAAGCTGGACAAACAAGGCAGCTGGAAATGCAGACACCGTTGGGACTGGATGAGAAGGCTCATATTGGAAAGCGCCTCTGGTTTTCCCTCATCCTGTGAAAACCCAGCCATCCCTTTTGCCCTCCATGAGGAACAGAGTTAGCATAAGGCACCACCGGACCCAAAAGCCCCGGTCCGCACCTCCTGCGTCCCTCCTGCCTCCGGGCTTCAGACTTCCCCTCTCGACTAAAACGGGGCAGTTTCGTCTATTCTTATGCAAAACCAAGGTGCAAAGCGCTCCGCACGCCCCGCGGCCCCCCGCCCTGCCGGCTGGGCTGGCTGCCGAGCACCGGGCACGCACCGGAGCTCGCCCCGACAGCAGGTGAAGGAGTAGCCTGACCGCCCCCGCCGGACCCCGGGCTCCGGCACGGCCCAACACTGCCCTCCGTCCGGTAGCAGCTGCGGGCGGGTCGGCGTCCGGGAACCCCAGCTGATGCTGAGCAGAGCTCGAGGATACGGCTGTGCTCCCGTCCCGGGAGCCGACACCGGCTCCCCGCCGCCGACGGCGAGGTACCCAGGCTGAAGAAGCCACAGTCGGTCCGGCCCCCTCCGAGACAAGAGAGCGCTGTCTCGTCCTCCCCCGCCCCGGCAGGTACTCACCGCCGGGCAGGACGGGGCAGCCCGGCCGGTTCCGTCCCGCGTCTCTCCGCGCGCGCCGCTCCCACGCGAGGCCGATGCGGCCGCCGCGCCCGCGCCGTCGGGCCGAGCGTGCATCCCGCGGAGCGCCCCGCCCCCGCCGCCCGGCTCGTCTGCCCATTGGCTGCTGGAGAGGTGATTTGCATGGCGGGCCCCGCCCCATCGGTACGTCGGTCCGGGCCGTGTGGCGGGGCGGGCGCGCAGCCCCTGTGCCACCCCTGCGCCACCCCTGCGCCGCCCCCTTCCTCCTCCTGCCCGGCCTCGTGGGGCCGCGCTCGGCTCGCTCAGTTCCCAGTGCGGGGAAGGTCCGCGCCCGTGGGTGCTGGGAAGCGTGGGTGGGCTGAGGTGGCCCGTTTCTTTGCCGTCGGCCCGGAGGACGTCCCCTACCCTTTCTTGCCGTCGCCTCCTCGCCGGGAAGCGGGTGCTTTCCAACCGCCGCGCTGCGAGGGCTTGGGGATGGGATTGGGGGTGCGGTGAGGAGCGGGGCCGACAACGAGTGAAATCCGAGGGGGCGAGGGAACAGCTAGGATCAGGCGCCGCCGTGAGCGGGGAAGGGGCGTGTCCCCCCAGCCGCGTCCCCTCATCGTCCCGTTTCCCCCTGGCTGTCTGCCCTGTCCTGCCGGCTTGAGCCGCGCATGATGAAATGCGACGGCAAAAGAACTTCTACGAATGTAATTCAAATTACTGCTGCTTAGTGTGGGGATGAGAAGCTGTGCTCTTTTAACCGTGCTTCAGGGTACGGGTCAAAATTAGCCCATTTTTTGGATGTTGGCTTCAACTCCGATAAATTTGACCATTCCAGGGGGAAAAAAAACCAAACAAACCCAAACAAAACACCTTCCCCATCATTCTAACTCAGAAAAACCTGGCAAAACTTTGGTGTTACAATGTTACAACACACTAATAATACACATAAATAAGCCACACAAGTAGTTACAGAGGTTGTTCAAGTCTCTCTGAGGTGGGAAGTTTTAGAGTTTTTTGAACATCTTGGACAAGCATTTTCTTCACCCTTTCACCACAGAAATGGAAGACAATTTGAATCTGGAAATTTTAAAAGATAGAAGTTACTTTTCTGTTGGTGCAAACGTAGCTGAAAGAGCAATGTTGCTTTCCTGAGCTGTCATGAGTTTTAAGGCTCAAAAATTTCTCATATATTGTGTCAATCCCTGCATGACCAAGACCAAATCTGTCATGATGGAGACAGTTGCAGAGACACAGGAAGCTTCCTCTCTCCTTATTTTCTATGCTGTTGTGTCAGGAAAAAATTGAGCAACAGGTAAATGCTAGAGGTTTTATGGTTAACAGTTAGCTAAAAATATATCTGACAGAAAGGCTCTTTCCCCTTGAAAAATCCAAGACTGCACTACAGGATTCTTCCATGTGGAGAACTTTGCTGGCATTTTTCCCTTAGACCTTAATGCTGGAGAGAAATTTATGGTTGGGTATTATTGGTCCCCTAAAACTACCTGAAGGCACTGAATTATGAGTAGGTTTTCTTTTCTTTTCTGAGCTTCTGCTTGGTGAGCCCAGCTACAGCATCCCCAGTGTGTGGGCAGTTGGTTTTCTCTTTGCCACTGGACCACAGAGAGCAAATGGGCCTTCAAGGTTGTTAATGCAAGCGGAGCTGAAAATAAAGCTGCGTGTTAATGTGATGTCACGGGTAATCACAGATACAGACTGCTTTGTATGGCATGGAACAAGAATTACAAATTAATCTGCTGTTGTTCCAGCACAGGCAAAGCTATTGGGTGCATTGACTGATGTGTCTGATGATCAAAAATGAGCAAAATGCTCATCTAGAAACATCTGGTATCTTCCCTATAATTTGTGAGGAGGATTTGAAAGACCAAATAGATGACAGTCAAGTCTCCTCTGCTTTGGGAGACACATCAGTTAAAATTTCAGTAGCTGAGTAGAAGGCAAGGTAGCAATATTGTTAAAATATTAATCTTCTAAGAAAGGAATGGAGGGTGAGAGAAAACTATTATTTCTATAAATTTTGCCACCTAGATTAGAAGAGGTTAAAGAAGGTTGAAAACTCTCAGAGACAGCTAGCTAATTAAGCTACACGAATAGGTGATTAAAAAAAATTCACCACTGACAAACAAGGATCCTGAAGCGCTTGAGCATATTATGTTGCTAGATCCTACCAAGGTCGCCCATTTGCATGGTGTTATGAGAAACAAAACCAGATGAGTCATATGAAAAGATTATCATGTCATCATACGTACAAAAGACACTTGTTTTGGATTATTATGCTCATTTCAATCACTTCTGAAATAAGATGAACAGTGTAGATTGATAATGAAAATGATTAGACAGAGAGAAGTGATTTTCCCCCCAAAAATTAATAGATTTTTCAGTCTCATCATTTTACCCTCCCATGAATCCCAAGCAGCATTACATACAAAGCCACAAAAATAACATAGTAACTTTTTTACTTTGTGCTGTCTCTTATATAAGATACACATTTAATGAAAATTTGTCATTTACCAGTGAAAGGAAATGCTCAATTTACATAGATAAAGGCAGAACTCATTTGCACAGATGCCAATCATTTTTTTAAAGGAGTTAGGGCGATGTAAGTGCACAATACATCTGGAGACAGCAAGCCTCTCTTTTAGTTTGTTTTTTTTTCCCCCTGAAGAGCTGTTGGGTTTTTTCCTTAAAGACTTCTAATCCTGACCTAGGTCTTGAGTGATTTTTTTGGATGAGCCACATTCTGCTTCCAGTTTCCTCATTCTCTAGAAAGAGGAAAGGCATAATTACTTTCACTGCTCATAAATGTGTAGTGAAAAGGAATATATAAACAAATTGGAGTCTCACGTATGTTAAAATACCTTGAGGATGTGTAGTATTTCAAGGCCAATACACAGAGCAGAGGGACTGTCTGCATGTGGGAGACCCATCATGTCTCTGCTCTGGTGCCTGATGCTTCTAATGACACTGGCAACCAGGAAAGTAATGAAACAGACTGGCTGAGTTTCTTCTGAAGACCAAGAAATTAGCAATTATGTGGACATGTAGATTTCTCTTTGCTACCACCTACCAACATCTGGGAGTTCTGGAGAATATCAATTTTCAGAAAGAGCAGTTTCAACAGGTGCCTTACGTACAGGTGACATATGGGCCCCTGTTTGTCTGGAGTTTACCCATCTGTTCAAAAGAGTTTGTACCAATAATATCTGTACTAATTTCAAGTATGGAGTTATAGAAGTGTCAATCTATAATAATTGACATTTGTGAAACTTTTAGCTGCAAATAGAGCAAATTGCTACCAGTTCAGTTCTGTATCCCAGGGCCAGTTCTCAGACACATAAAACTCATGTATGCTTTTCTGCATGTGCAGTACAAATGAGCCTCTTCTAAGCTAGAATTAGGTCTGATGTAATCTAGCTCACATTGATTCAATGAAAGTAACAATTCATGGTCCTGGACAAATAACTTTTTTCCTTTTAACCTCATGAATCAGTAAGTCATTCTGACAGCACGATTTATCAATTGCCAAGGTGAGTGAAGTGAGACACCAAAGGTTGATGCTAGGAAATTCTTTCACTATATTCATTAACCAGAGAAACTTAGTTTCCAGCTGTGGTACTTCCAGCTTGAGTAAGGTCCATCAAACACTCCAGTTCTGACTTTTCACATTTTCACATTTTCTTGTAGCCTCTCACAAAAGTTACTCATGTTACAGAACAGCTTCATAACTAAATGTTACTGATGTAAAGAGATCCTTCTTGGTTACATGAGGAACAGACTGCTGAAAAGAATTGAAAAGCCAAATGTCTCCACAGCTGGTAAAATCCACCTTAATTCTTTGTTGAAGCCTGTGGAGATACTTGGATTTACAGGGGATAACAGTGCTGTAAGTATTGAGCCCCACAGGTGTTTTTGCTTTCCTTTTCTCTTTTTCATTAGGAAGGAAGAAGACTGTTAGAAAGGGATGGAGTGCTGAAAGCTATACAGATGTAATTGCTGTGGAGTCAGAGGATGCCCTGTGCCAGGGCCCTCTCTCTTGCTTATTTAGGAAAGGATTTAACATTCTTCTCCAATTATGCCTGAAAGGCATGTGAAGCCAGCCCTGGGTGTAATGCTCCTGAATTCCTTGTGAACCACAACTTGGCACCCATGTATAGCTCTCTGAAGATTCATTACCTGTACATGAGTTCTTACAGAGCTGCAAATCTAGTTATAGCTCTATTAAATGCCAGATTGGATGTACAGGAAATAGCCCTGGGACTTCTGTTGACTCTAGAGATAATGGCAGGTGCCAGCATGTTTTATTAAGCTAGTAACCAACAAATTAACAAGTTCAAAATTAGGTCTACTTGATGGATGTAAACAAGCATACTTAACTGGAGCCAGTGGAACAATACTGATTTCTGGGAGCTGAAAGCTTGGTTGATTATCAGGTAAGCCACTGAATTTCTCTGCCTGTTGTCACAGCTTTGAATGGAAGAGCACAGCCCATGTGTATAACATGACAAGGATCCTGTCACATCAGCAGTCCTAATGAGAAGTATTACCTAATGCTATTGCTATACTTTGGTAAAGGTGAATATTCTAACTCCTGCTCTCAGACAGGAATGAGGTATCTCTTCTGCATATTTGCATGCCCATAGATTAAGATCAGTTAACTTCTGCACTATAGGGAGCACTTTGCAACCAGAGACAAGGGCATCTTTATGACAATCAGGAGTCAGGCACGGAAGACACATAGCAGATCCTCAGATTTGGATATAGGACAAGTAACAGCAGATTCTAGGGGCAAGTTCATATTGTCAAAAAGTACATCCCCTGTTTCTGCCTCAGCACTACTCTCTGAGCAGAAAATGAGCAGGCTGTATATTAGGTGTGAAGAGAGAAGTACCTGGGGGGTAATAAAAAGGTTTTTTTTCCTGGAAGTTAAAAGCCTTAGACAGGTTAGAAGAGTGAGGTAAAGAATAAATAGACCTTCACAAAGAGAGGCATTGGAAAATGAGAACATTTCCATAGCTTTTTGGAGATCCTTTCCAATTAGTCATTCAGAGAAAAGGTG